AGGCTGACCAGTACAGAGATCTGCAGTTCGTGTGCGCGTTTATATGCGTACATGGTAGATTGGCATAACCATCGGTACACAGTCCATGATCGTCGCATGAGATCAAATCAATCACATTGTGATTATACATCGAGTACGGGCAGCAACAAATGCGTAGGCAGACTGGTGGCAATGTCGTTGTTTCCGCATGAAGATCGGTTTACAGACCGAAAATCCTCGGTAACCGAACAGTCTGACACCCTTAGTGCACAGTGCAGAAAGATGAACTGAGGTGAAAGAATATCTGATGCGGAATAGAAAACCAAGTTTGTTTATGTACGACAAGCAAGCTGAGAGATAAAAGATCAGGACAACGAAGAAGTTGGAGGTCAAAAATGAAACAGATTCTGCTCGCCCAATCTGAATGCACTCGAAGGATAAATGTGAGGATAATGAATGATGTTTCGGAGAAGTTGAAAGAAGAATGGTTTTTGAAGCAATAAGTGCAGCCCGATTGTGGTGGTCTCAAGAGATATTTCCGAGTTCAGTGTCACAATAACTGCACCNCGACTGATGGTGATGCTGACAATGCGAAAGGTGTAGTGAGATGTGGTGAGCATTGAAGGGGACAGTGATTGGTATAGGACTGGATTGTGATGACAGTCTTGGATGTGAGACTACTGATAATCGTTGAACAAATCGTGGGTTCTGATAGTGTTTCAGATTGCATTTTTTGACTATGTGGTTTCAAGCTCACAGCGTAATTCACTTTCTCCGATAAAATACTGATCTACACGAACAGACACTCACACCCGTATGGGTGGAGCTAAAGTAATATGCACAACGAGTGCAGATCGTAGGGTCCAAATCGGCGCCACAAACGTGGTAACAAAACATAGAAGAGAAGAACAGGATAAGTTGGGAACCCGAATTCGCTGAAAATCGTTCAAAATCGACAATTCAAGACCTGTAAAAACCAAAAGAGCATGGAAAAGAGTCAAAAGATCTTTCACGAACATACTTACCAAGAAGTCAAAAAGATAATAAAGTTCCACAGCATTCTTCGGATAAATTTAAAACTTAAGAATAAACATCGACGAGATGTTGCTCGACGTAACTTACTGGATTTGTCAGAACAAATATTATTGTTCAAAGCCAACGCGTTCGGAACTGCACATTCACGCTAATATATCCTCTACATTCGAACAGTTGTGAGGTACTACAAACAATTGTGAGTACTCGGTGCGAACCAAGAAGCGGACCTAGCCATGTGCTAGTTCGCGCAAAAGTCAGACTCCATATAACAAACTGCAAGGAAACCATTCCTCAAAACACCTAATTGTGCTTCCACTGGAAAACAGCGAGAAATGCCAGAGACTGATGGGCAAGATAACTGCACAACTGTTGAAAAATCCCCTCAGTACGCAAGAAACACAGAGTTCAATTGAAACACCGTGGACCAGGTTGAATTCGTCGGTACAACAAGCTGTTCCACACGAACTAGGCGCTGAGTCACGTCGTCNACGTCGTCTGAACGACTGGATGATCCAACACACCATGCAGTTAGGTAATACGACCAGAGAGGCACGCCTACCTCAATCTTCTGCTTATCGCGATCTCAGACAACAAGTAACACGCTCAGCCAGAAACGATAAATGCAGCTACTGAAATGAAGTGGTGAATAACATGGAAAAAGTAGCCAATATGGGCAACAGGGCGACCCTCTTCCGAATTATACGATCAGTATCGAACAAGAAACAAGTCATCCAGTCCGTGTTGTGCAGCGCTTCCGGCAAGCTCATTTTTGATCCACAGGGGAAAATGTCTCGGTAGGTGAAACCCTACAGTCTTCTTCTCAATTACTGTCAAATCCAAACTCCCCATGCGCCGTCCTCACCATCATCGTCATACGGAGCAAGGTGCACTCTGACACCAACAGAAGAAGTCTCCGATATCATCAACAATCTCAAGCCACGGAAATCTCCCGGCGAGAACAGGATACTGGCGGAAATCTGCGCAAAGTGTGCTCCAGCCATTTTACAGCCACTCCACAGCTTACTGTCCGAAATCTGGGAAACTGAAATTTGACCAACAGACCAATCCAGGTCGATTCTACAGCCTCCCTAAAAGGGTAAAAAACCAATGCGAAAACTACAGAAGCATCAGGTTATTTGATGAGTTGGCCAAGGTTTTTGTACAAATTATGCTTAAGCAAGACAAGCGGGCACTCGCCTTAACCAGCAGGGATTCCGCCCGGTTCTGGGCTGCGTTGACCAGATATTCACGTTACGTCGACTCTTGAAACATTGCCACAAGTTACAACAACCCAAAGCAATCTCACTCGTTGATTTTCGTGAGGCTTTCTATTCCGTAGATCGCGAATTCCTCTACTATTGTTCACAATTGTGAGTAGTCTGTGCGCACCAAGAGGCGGTTACCAGATTTCCGCCGCATCCGTGACTGGATTAAAGGATTTACTTTTGCAACTACAGACAACAAAGACACCGTCAGGCTGGCGATCACCGTCGAAAGACGATCACGAAAATACTAACCAACCGTGGTAAATTAGATGTTTCGTTCTAATTAACCTTATTTACCCCTACACGATGCTGTTCTTCAAATAAATAACTCTCCTAGTCCCAGCAGTGTCTTGTCGATTTATGACAGAAGTAATCGGAACATTTAACTAGAACATCATATCATCACCCGACATTGACATTATGCGTATGGTTTTCGTCAACTAGTCATGCACCTGATTTGCCTAGTCATCACATAAGCGAACGCACCGCGTACCTGGCGCGAACACATTTTCATTCTCGAGATAATCCATTCCTGTGTGACTCACTGTGGATGTGGACGTGCTGTCAGTGCTCCGCTAGAAAACCTACCCAACCCCGCACTGGTAGAGCCTGGGCTTGCTAACTCTTGATCGATCAATAGTGTTGATCAGAGATAAATTGCACTGTCATGACTACCTGTCAGAGCCCGTATGTTTATGCACGATTTGTGATGATCTGTTTATTGACCCAGTTGTCTGGTGCATGGTTGCGGTCCGTAAAGACAATTCGTGTAGGAACTGCCTTATCTTACCTTATTCATAGGTTAGTCTATGGTTGAATGGAAAAGTTCCCGCATCAACGGAGATCAGCTCGATTGAGTGCTTCTATTTCTTGTCTGCCGTTTCACCACGGGGTTCGTTGGGTCGATGGTACCAGTGGAAGTGGAACGACATCGGTTGTGTTTGATATTATGCGACCAACTGGCAAGATTTGTCGTTCATGAAGTTATCGTTTATTTTGTTGCTGGGGGTGACCTTTCCGAAGTGCCTTTGATACCGAAGCACGGAATCCGTCGTTGTGGCCGGCTGTTCGTTGCGTTATGACTCTTTCACGGGGCGTTATTTGAGTATTGGGGAGTAGGAGCCAGTATAAACGCCTACTCACTGCCAAAAGTTGGGTGGTTGCGAGATAAGTCACGACAACGCAGCAAAAGCATCAATATAGATAACAGGTGGAATAAAACAAGCACAACATTCAGCGATTTTGCTGCTTAAATGTTAAAAAGTGTATGGGGTAAGGAATGCGCAGACGTGACTTTTCTAGATTGTAAATAAGAGCAGAACAGCAACGAGCGCTATCCGAAACATCTTGACCGGGGAAAACAAGGAGGACCTTGCCGACCGTTGTTACATCCTACGGATGTCCGTATGAGTCGACCTGCTGGGCCCTTAACACGCTATATAACAGTGCTTTTCTACGCTTGCTCCATCGCTTGGCAACAATCTAGTAATTGCGCATATTTGCTTCCACTGTTCGGCAACTAAAACAGGCAAGGACTCATAAAAATATGAGCATTCAATGACAGATGGGAGATACAGTCGAACAACTGTGTATGCATCTAAATGAATACTACGACGCCTTTTGAAGCGTTTACCCGAGGTCACAAACCTGGAGCGACTGTGTGTATACATGGACCATGGAACAACGAATGACAATGATAGGACGGGGAACTTCTATTACTTGAATTCCTACACACAAGCGACATGTCCAATCCACACGGTGGGGTACAGAAACATAATCTCACCTCTGTAATGACCCGTGAATTGGTGGCGAAAAATAACGCATCGGTGCATCTAAAGACGATAATTCCAGCCACTCTCATAAGTTGTGTACGTTTGACAACGAATCCCAGTTTGGATGAAAGGTTTACAACGACCCATTGTGCTCCCATACCGATATATATATATATATAGTGTCGAATCAGAATACTCTAAATATAGCCACGCGATCAGTTTCTAAATGACGATAACGTATATGTAACCAGTCGTTTTATAATTACATTTGCTTTAGAACAAACTGGAGGATAGCATGGAGCATCAAGGATGACAATTGAGGGTTGTCCGGAAGGCATCACTGGAGGAGGATGAAAACCGTAATGTACACATGGGACCGCGACATGCGAGAAAGCTCTATAGACGGTGATGAATCAGTCGGCATTGAGCGATCACAAAAGACCCAGAATGATGGGTAAAGAGGAATACACGCTCTGCATTGCGGAGCGACATCAGAGTGAGTCCGCAATTATATGGCGAGTAAGTGCACAGATAACACTTCTTCATGAAATTTTCTCCGGCTAGTGACGTCAAACATGGGTTCGTTTTGAAAAAGGAGACCCCATAGCACAAGAACTAAGGAAGAAGCACTGATTGTGCCCTGTGGTCATGGGCACATACTGTCCATTATCTATGATACTTAGTACGAGCCCAGTGACAAACAGCGATTGAAACAAACGGCTGTGCGTAGCAGGAAAAAGTAATATCCGTAGATGGGAACAGAAGGGAAATGTGTGTGACGTCGGAATTCAACGATTCGTTACACGTATACGCACATATACACACTCATGGTATGTACCGGTCCGATAGACACCAGAAATTGGATGCTGAGTGGGAGACCATGAATTCATTTACACTCTGGTCAGATGAGAAGGCAACAAACGAAAATACAGAGAGAAAGATTGATTGATCACAGCGCTTGCAGAGATGAGCTTTGGCTTGTATAGACCACAGCCCCCACGAGATTGACACAACCGGCGATGAAGAACACGGGAAACCAGCGGCCGTCGGATTGCACGACCAGTTCTGCCGTCATTGGACCGCACAAGATGCCCGGAATGGTTGCCTTGGAACACAATGGAGAATTAGAGGAACAGACGTAGCAGAACGACTTTAATGGAACAATTTGACAAGAAGGAATATGTATGCTCGGAGTAAGGGTATGAATGAACGGACGAGGTATGAACCGATACGTATACGAGATGAGCGGTAGTAAAAACGAGAATGTGGAAACACTAACTTAACAAGTGGAGGATGCACATGTCGTGTCAGCGTTAGCCAGATAAGACAGGGGAAAGGAATTTGCCATCAAGAGATTGGCCATACGGTAATTATTATTCCCTTTGAACCCGAAACAAAGTGCTCAAACACCACAGATTTCGCTGGATCGGATGTACAACGCATATTTTCGCTTCATTTGTAGGCGCAAAACTTGCCGAAGCGGTGGTAAGCCACGTGTATGTGCTAAGTCACTAGATTATTCGAAGGATACGGAAATCTTGGACGACGGACTGAGGCGCATTAGAAGACACGGAATGCTGGATTGAGGAACAAGAAGTCGAAACAGTTCGATCGGAAACTCTGACATATTCGTTGGTATCGGAAAGTATCTCATTCATTTACTCCCTCTGTTCCGTAACCCATCATTATTGGGTTTGTGGTTGGAGAAAGCGAAAACGCGCTTGTCTGCGATCGATTTTGTTTCCTCTTCGCTCTTTATTTGCAATGGTGCAACCACGAACCATTCTTGTTAGACTATCTAGGACGACTGTTGATGTTCAGACTTTTAGCAAAATTGTCTTCGAAACTGTTCGACAGTACATGTGCTTAATGTGAATAGGCTACCAGCCACGGCCATAGGAATTCATGAATTTAGGTGCTAAAATAGGACACAAATGATAAACGTCGTTTCGACCTATCGACAGAACCGATCACCGGAAATCCGATATGATTAAGTAAGCAGATCAGTTCAGGTCGTGGTTAAATACAAATCTCAAAAATTGGGACGGGTATTAGTGTATTGCAAAGTACGTACAAAAAGACATGACAAAACTGGCGATTATTTCCGTCTAAGTAATACTACGGGATAAATGAACCTGGATGTGAGCACGGAGACGATTAAAACGATTCAGTCTTAGAATCTTTGAGCATCTCAGCAACTGGTCATCAGGGTTAAGGCTTTCTATCGCAGGTACGGCCTTTGTCGTTGATTTCATCTAAGAGCAGGCAGACCGAATTGGCATGCAGGAGACCGAAAGACACTGGTGTGATGAAACAAGCCCTATTCATTCACTGGGATGAGTCAGTAAATTGCATATTTTGCTTTTGGGATAGTGCTACATGTCAAATAGAGTTGATAAGTTAGGAATAAACACTAACTCCCAGAACTGTCGATCCAAACAGTGCGAACAAAAAGGAGGAGGATTGACGAATGCGAAAGATGACAACAAGACTTACTATGGTGTTACTAATGGCAAACGTGATTCCAGCATGATTCGGAGCCACCTCTACATGATTGCTCAAATGACCGGCCGAGTTGAAGGCAGACAGCATCATGCACACAGTTATAATTCTTTGACAGATGAATGACGTTCGTTGTGGTAGAATAGGTCGGGGCGTGAATAGATAAGTACGACAGCAATTAGAAGTGCGAACTAATGCAATCTAAATGGAGAGGAAAATAATCCTCAAGTAGGATAGGAGTGCTTAAGAGAGGAACGAATCTAGTTCAGAAGCGCATCATAAAACGAACAAAATTCGAATGACATCACAATGGAGCCCATGAGGGTTTATATTCTAACAAACCCTTAGCCCATGTAGCGCAAGTCACTTGTGTGTACGAAATGGTCAAAGCGTGTACAGACGATCCTTGATGAAAGCAAACAAAATTACCGGGTATGGAAGAAGCAGTTTTTGGGTGATCAAGTAATTCTTCAAGTGCGTAATTACACAAACAAGGAAACCAATCAAGATAATTTCACCGAACAAATATTTGTAAATTTACTTTGACCAAAAGATCGGGGAATCGATGCCGCATCACTTTTTATTCTCAAGCTAAGTAAAAATGCTTGATAAGTGAATAAAATAAACCGTAACTGGCATTAGAGTTTCATGTTAAATGTATTGGGAGTAATATCTGAACTAACAAATGGTCTATTGAAAATAACATACCGTAAAGAAGTGCGAAGCACCCAAGTGTTTTCTTGTTTGTGTAGCAATACAGAGTGTAAATGGAATACCGAATTGGGAAGATCCTCATTCACCCATTCAGAACGGCTCTTTTTCAGGGTTATTCTTCTTTCAGTTTCAATTTCTTTCGAAAGTGGCGGATAGCTTAGGCATCGCCCAGTCAACTACAACAGTCCACTGGATACCTTATCTGGTTCTTCCTCGAAGCCCGAGTTCCAAGAAGCATGTTGCTGCTTATCACAGATGGACGATAGATCCCAATGAATATCGCATTCATCGCTTTTACCATGCATCGCATAGATTTATGGAATAAAAGTGTGAGGTTGCGTTTCGTGCCATTATTTAAACGATCACTTAGATCAAGAAAATCACTCGTTCAAATAGTTCTTAGTTGCCCCCTACGACCAGCCGATTCTGTACTTTGGACAAGGTCAAATGAGTGACTGTCTACAGAAACTGCAGGCATGTGCTAAAATCTGGTAGCGGAGTGGCTTCGTTTGGCGGTCGCCAATTAAATCTATGAAATTTGGTCGAATAAAGCGTGATGGGCAGAAGAACCTCCATGACATCACCCTTGCCCTGGTTCACTTCCGATAAACCCGCGCCATACAGTCAATCACATACTCGACAGCTCATGACCGCGTTGATGAGCGCTCAGAAATCAAGTGATGTAAAGCAAACATTTGTATATAAATATGCCTAATATTGCATTTACGGATTCCATTTACGTGACAAAGCAGTAACAACACTTAAACCATTAGCTAGACCAAAAGCCATTTGTCCGAAGGTTTCGATTGGGTATGGGTATAACACTGTCAATGGGATTAAGAAGCGTGCATGATGAGAAGGGTTGAACTGAAGCAACACTATTTGTTGATTGCTAGCCCACTGAATACGATCAAAACAGTGTGTACTGGGTGGCCAGACGGTGTATTTAAAGGCCACTGGTCGCATTAGGACGAGTTAAAAATCTACCATCAAAACAACTTAACACCAATCTGTATCAAACTTCATGACGCATGCAATACATTGGTGACTAAATGACTCAAATCAATGAATCGCTAAGTTGAGAGAAAGTAGGTGACAATGTCAGCTAATTATTTTCAGGGTTTTGTGCGGCTCATCGAATGAGATTTCGATGTGCTGACAAAACTAATCATTTCAGTCAATTCATTCACTTCCCTACCGTGCATACACACACACACACACACACACTCTCTCTCTCTAGCTAAGCATCACTGGCGGTGATGGCCCGGTAGTAGCGTCACAAAATTATCACCTCGGAGGATGTGCGTTCGAATCCCACCACCACCGCTTAACTTTACCGCTGTGTTATATGGCAGCTCTCTGACTGATCGCT